ATTTATTAATTTAATATAATTAATTGTATAATAATTATTATTAGTTTTATATTAAAAATAAATTAATAATTAGATAAATAATTATTCAATTAAATTAATTTATTTATAGTTAATTAAATTATTTAAATTAATTTATAAAGTTTTAATTAACCAATAATATTTAGTAACAATTATTTAATTTAATTATTTATATTATTATTATTTAATTTTATTCTTCGTAAAAGATATAAATTTAAATAAATAAATTTTCAAACTTTTTTTTGAAAAAATTTCTACAGAAAAAAATGTGTATTTAAAAAAAATGTAAAGATAATAAATTAATTATTTTCTAATTTTGTTTATAGAAATGTTTTAAAATTAATTTATATTATGAAGTTTTAATTAACAAATCGAGGCGCATGAAAAGTCTCCAATTTTTATTTTCCGAATCTTTATTTTATCGAAATTCTTTTTATCTAATAAGAATTAATTATAATTTCTTTTAATCGAAAGAATAATTATTAAAAACATTATCTTTTTGAATGACTAATTAACAGAATGTTTAATACTGCGAAAGAAAATTTTTTATAATCTTCAAGTAACTGAATTATCATTTCTAAAAATTATTATTTTTTATATTTCTTATTTACACTAATATTTTTATTTTCGAAATGTCAATTTTGATAGATATTATTTTATAGATTTGTTAATAATTATAATAATTATATTCCCGAATTATTATTCAATATAAATCAAATATTACCGAATTACCAATTCTTAAAAAATTTATTGTTCCTAATAATATTTCTTTACAATGTGTAAATGTTCTATATTTTAAAGTCTCTAAATTTTATTTTATCGAAATATCATTTGTTATAAAACTCTTTTCTTATAAATGTTTTTCAAAATAATTTTAACTTTTTCGAATTAACATTACTCATAATTTTCTTTACTCCTAATCATTCTTCTTTATAATTACTACATTTTCTAACTTGTATTTCTTCTAACTATAACTTTACCGAATTGTCACTTCTCATAATTATTATTACATCGAAATATTATTTTTCAAAATTTTTGTAATAACTAATAATTTTTTATACAAATAAAAAAAAACTGGTTTTAAAAAACCAGTTTTTATAATTTTATTTTATTCGAATAATTATTTCGTATACTTTTTTTCTTACCGAAATTATATTTTAAATATTTTTTTTAACCGATTTTTTATTTTTCCCAATATTCATTTATTCAAATAATTTTTTTTCATAATTTCTATATTTCCTAATTCGTATTTTACAAGCATAGGGTAAACGTACCAATTGTCGAGGATGGTTCCTGTTGTCGAGTAAACAAACTTTGAATTTTATTTAAACAGTGTAGCACATTGTAAATGAAAAAAAGTAATAAATATTAATTTTTTTATGCGTTATAAATGTAAAAAATATATATTAATATTATATAAACAAACAAATGAGACATTTTAGACAATATTTTTTGGTTATTACCATGGTAACATCGACAAATGGAACACCCTCGGCAATTGGTACACTTACCCTACATTTTTTCTAAGATTTAAATTCTCTAATTTTTTATTTTCCTAACCTATAAATGACATAATAAGAATTGCACCGAATAGTTATTTCACATACAGAGTATCCGGTTTCGATGTTTCCCATCTCTGAAGAATATGGCGCCAAATTTGAAAAATTTTTATTATTTTATTATTTAAAAATTATTAATTATTACAAATATTGTTTAAAACAGTTTCCCTAATGATATTTAATTGTTTTAAACGATATTTGTAATAATTAATAATTTTTAAATAATAAAATAATAAAAATTTTTCAAATTTGGCGCCATATTCTTCAGAGATGGGAAACATCCTAACCGGATACTCTGTATGTGAAATAACTATTCGGTGCAATTCTTATTATATCATTTATAGGTTAGGAAAATAAAAAATTAGAGAATTTAAATCTTAGAAAAAATGTATGTTATTTAAAATACGAATTAGGAAATATAGAAATTATGAAAAAAAATTATTTGAATAAATGAATATTAGGAAAAATAAAAAATCGGTTAAAAAAATTATTTAAAATATAATTTCCGTAAGAAAAAAATTATACGAAATAATTATTCGAATAAAATAAAATTATAAAAACTGGTTATTATACAATAAAAAATTTGTATAAAAAATTATTAGTTATTACAAAAATTTTGAAAAATAATATTTCGATGTAATAATAATTATGAGAAGTAACAATTCGGTAAAGTTATAGTTAGAAGAAATACAAGTTAGAAAATGTAGTAATTATAAAGAAGAATGATTAGGAGTAAAGAAAATTATGAGTAATGTTAATTCGAAAAAGTTAAAATTATTTTGAAAAACATTTATAAGAAAAGAGTTTTATAACAAATGATATTTCGATAAAATAACATTTAGAGACTTTAAAATATAGAACATTTACACATTATAAAGAAATATTATTAGGAACAATAAATTTTTTAAGAATTGGTAATTCGGTAATATTTGATTTATATTGAATAATAATTCGGGAATATAATTATTATAATTATTAACAAATCTATAAAATAATATCTATCAAAATTGACATTTCGAAAATAAAAATATTAGTGTAAATAAGAAATATAAAAAATAATAATTTTTAGAAATGATAATTCAGTTACTTGAAGATTATAAAAAATTTTCTTTCGCAGTATTAAACATTCTGTTAATTAGTCATTCAAAAAGATAATGTTTTTAATAATTATTCTTTCGATTAAAAGAAATTATAATTAATTCTTATTAGATAAAAAGAATTTCGATAAAATAAAGATTCGGAAAATAAAAATTGGAGACTTTTCATGCGCCTCTTTCCCGCGCAATCTGCTTGGTATGCGCATCAAGCGTGGAAGATTTTAGTTTCCTGTATTCAGATGGTCGTTTAGGTTAGTGGTTAGGTTCTCGATTTCTGTTCTGCAAACAAGGGTTCAATTCCCACTTCCCCCAAATTTTATTTTAAAAAAATATTTGTTTCGCAATAAATTGTTGTTAGAAATCTAAACTTAATTCAGGTAGTAATAAATTAAATAGATAAGAGCAAGTTGTAAAATTATTTTTTAAAATTATTTTTCCATTGAAATTAATAATGGTGTTTATTATTAATAATTAATTTTGTCAACAAAAAAATAATTATAATAAATTCATTATTATTATTATTATTATTATTGTTATTGTATTAATAAGTAATAAATACATATTAATTTTCCAAGTGTACAATTTTATAATTATATAATAGCATATATTATATTCTTTAACTTAATCAATTACGTTTTCTGAAAACTTACATTTCTATTTTTGGGGAAAATTGCTTATCATTTTTTAGGGAACTTAGAAGAGCTAGTTTTATGGAAAGTTACACAGAAAACTTTCTTTAAACTTAAATTTCTATTCTTCACAAAAGTTACATTGCAATTTTTCAGCAAATTTATATCGATAATTTCCAGGAAGCTAACACCGTTAAGTTTAAACCGGAGGACATTTAAAAGTTCAGGGAACTTAGAAGGAACTTAACCGCGTTAAGTTCGGAACTTAACGCGGATAGTTTCCTGCTAAGTTCCTACAAAGTATTGTGCTATCTGGGCTTACTTAAAAGAAATTTTATATTTTACTAGAATGCAACACTTTTATTTTCAAATAGGAAAATTAATATTTTTCTACCTATGTAATTATATATAAAGTTATTAAATTTATTTATGTAAAAGATATACGTACTGCATTTATTTAAGTAGAAAGTTTATTTAACTTTTTTTCTTTTTTGGTAATTTGCTTAACGATTATACAAGTAGCAATAATTTGAATTGTCATAAAATAAATTTGGATAAGTTCAATTAATTAAATAATAATTTTCGTGTTATTAAAAAAAATTAAAGAGGATTTAAAATTGAAATGGTAATTGTAAAGTTCAAAAAATATTCCTTGCAAACTTTGAGAAAGAATAAATAAACTTACTCCATCAGCATGTTCTGTACTGTATCCTACTTCAAAAGTATTTAATTCGTCTAAATGCTTTCCGTTTTTTGGAAATAAATCTTCATCACATGTTTCTTGTTGGTCAATTTCCATTTCTTGCACACTTGCAAAAGGTACTTCGCTTGTTTGGCAAATTTCCATTTCCGTTTTGTCAATATTCAGTGTCTATGGAAAAAAATTTGAATTTTTGAACTTGTTTTTACATTATCATCACATGAAAAATTACTATTTTATTTACTACTTTACTTATTTTACTTATAACTTACTTTTTGCCGGTCCGATTTTTTGGTACCGATACCACGTGGATAAAGGAATTTCACTTAGCGAACCAGATTACATATAATTTTTATAAGATTTACCTTCATTTCTCTTATTATTGACCTAAAATAAAGCACATAATAGACATGCATGAACTAAATTTTTAACTTGAAACTCATTTTTAAAAGCAAAAATGTATAATTGAAACAATTTGAGGTTATTTTATTATAGAAACATTTGTGGTTATTTTCGTAGATGAATTTGGTCCTACCTGTTCGCAATCGTCCCGTTTAGGATTTTTTTTCTTTGACATCTTTCACGTAACTTAGTAAAATATGTAGACACAAACAAAAAATATATATATTCTACAAAAACGTGAGTAATCTAACTAAAATTTTCAGCTCAATGAAGCAAGGTAAACTGCGGTTAATCCAAAAAAATATAACGACACCAACTACGTATCATCATATTTTCGAGCCCGAAATGTTTATAAAAATATTTGTAAATGAAATTGAAAATTTAATGCAATTTTTATGATTTTTTTATGCATACAGTTATTTAAAGAACATTTTTATTCTTTAAGATATTATTACTTTCTTTTTGTTTTTATTTCAAAGTAAGCATTAAGGTAAAGTTAAGAAAATTTATAGGTTACGGGGGCTAACATATCATAATCCGTCATTGAACTTGTTTAAGTCACGTGATGTTTTCAAATTTTAGTCGGCATTAAAGTGTGTGGCACTGTTATAGTCATTTGTTCTGATTACTTAGTGGACAGAAAAATTTTAATTTGATTTTTGTACCATTTTCGTGTTGAAGGTAAGTGTGAAAAATTTGTCAATATATGTGACAAATTATCGAATTCCAATTGAATTAATTATTTTTAAGTTAAAAAAAGAAAGAATAAGTGTAATAAGTGTTAAAGTAAATTGTAAAGAACGCAGTCGAGTGCACTGACGCCACGTGTGAATAAAATATTTTATTGGTTGTATTTTTCATTTTTTAAAGAAAATACTTAAATTTTGCATTTATTTTTGTGCATTTCAAGAAAATATAATTTGACTATTAATTAAAAAAATTGTAAATGTAGAAAAATATAAATAGAATTTTTTTATTAAGGTCTTGTTAACAATTCATCAATTAATAATACAAGAGAGAAAATTAAATAAATTTTTATTTTTAACAAATTTTTCTATTAATTAATTATTTATTAAAATTTTTTTCTATTACATATAATTATTAAATAAAAATAAATTATTAATTAATTAAAATTATTTTTCAGAAAATATTCTATAGTCATCGAACCGACAAGAGTCAGTAAGAGGAAAAAATTTGCGAACATCCGGAATACTAGTTTTACGGAAGAACCCAAAAGAAACTCCAGGAAAACTGGAGGAAATGGAACTATGGTAATTTTCAATTTATTTATTTAAGTAGTAAACGGGCTTACAAAAATAAATGCTCTTTCGTAGAAATTTACTAATATTAATTAAGATTTAAATTTTCTCAATTTGAGAAAGAAATAAATAAAATAGAATAGTACACGGAAAAAAATTAATCTCTAAACTTGAAATAATATTAATTTGAAGTCCAATGAAATATAAGTGTATCTAAATTAAACATTATAGTCACAATTACTGTGATAAGTTGTGTTTGATTCTGTCAAACTTTATACCAGAAAACGCCATAAATTCACATCTCTGATTTAGAGATTTGTTAATTTCACAACTTTTTTTATATGAATTAGGTACATTGTGTTTTAAGTTAATCAGAAGCATGCAGAGAGCACAATGGTCCAGCTGTTATATTCTTAGCATTACATCACTTTCCAATTTTACATTTTACAACCGCGTTTCTGCATGAATTTAAACCATCTTTTGAATTTAGGTAATTAAGAAGATTCCTACTCGTTGTATGTTGGCCTATTTTGTAAAAAGTGTCTGTGTTTAGAGAAAAAGTGGTTGCAAAATGTTTATTTACCTATTTCACGTCATTTAAATCAGTCAGTGTCGTATTTTGTCGGGTAATAATTGTAACCTACAAATTTTACAGACTTTCCAACGCCGTTAAAACAAAAAAATGAAATAAAAATATAAAATTCGTATTGTGTTTTAAAAATATCCAACTACTTTTTTATACTTGTCAATGTATAGTTCATACAGGGAAAACAATATAAATATTTTGTGAATAATTCTCACTCTAAATTGTGATAAATTATAAATTCTTATTACATCGAGTTATTACAAAAATAAGAATTATATAAATATACGATTAAAATTTTTAATATTGTTTATTCAAATAATTTATTAGATTTGAATTTATTCAAGTAAGTTGATAGTTTAGAACATATGTTCCATATGTAATAAAATTTGAGATTCCTAATATCATTTTTAGGCATAAGAAATACGTGTTCTTCACAATACTAATATTCGGATTAGATATAATACCAAATTTCAGTTTTAGTGATCTGCTTACATCTTACGTCCGATTCCAGTGATAGTTTATGCCTAAATCTCAGATTTAATCTCTAATTTAGAGATTAATTTTTTTCCGTGTAGTATACATAATTATCAAAAGTTTTATCGAATTGAAAAAAAATTATTCCTCTCGCTTATAATTTGTTTAATGTTACTGAATATACCTTGTAATTAAAAATTATTTTTTTCATATTTCGAAGAAAAATTAATAAATATTAGTAAATATGAATTTTTTTACAGAAAGGCAAAAAAAGACTTTCATTCGATGAAAACTTAGAATATAATAGTGGGGTGCTGATGAAAAATAGAAAAAGATTGGTGTCATCCAGCGATCTATCAGAAAATAACAGTGATGGTAAAAAAAATTACGATTTTTATTAAACATATTATATATTATATTTTTTTTATGTTGACAAGTAATAAATTGTATATATTACTGAGATTATTGTCTATTTTAATAATATTTTTTGTCCTACCTGCACGGAAAGTATGTCATTTCGGGCACTTAAGGCGGGCGCAAAGTAACACATTACGCCCGGGAGTGGGAGAAGCGGTCGGAAAAGTATTTTGCGCCCGCTTGTATGACGTCAGCGGGCGGTAAAGTATTTTCCACCCGCTTCCCCTACCTCCGAGCGGGCGGAAAATACTTTACCGCCCGCTTGTTAATTATTTGATTTTCTTCATTAAAATGCGACATTTTCAACTTTCTTTTTATGTTGACTATAAAACTGCAAACATTTTCAACTTGTTTTATTTTGTCTATAAAAATTTGCAATTTTTTTTTTATTTTCTCTAAAAAAAATAATGAGATATTTGGTTTTGTTCCCATTTCGTTTATCAAAATTGTCAATTTTAAAAGTTCCTGTTTCAGTTTTGTTTAATTATTAATTACTACGTTCTAAATAAATACTATGTTTCCAGAATACATTGTTTTTTATTTCTATTTCAAAACTTCTATCATTAGAGACTTCATTCGATATAATGTTTATATAGAGCTTAATTTTTAACTAATATGAGAGTTTAATCGTGCGTGCCCTCAATGCCATACTTTCCGTGCAGTTAGGACAAAAAATTATGTTCGCATCATGGGCGCAAAGGTGATTACGACTTTGGCGAAATGAAGGGACCGAGGGGACACTTTCGCTCCCTCGGCTTCGCCTCGGGCGCGAAATTGTGTCCCCTCGGTCCCTTCATTTCGCCATCGTCGCAATCACCTATTTTGCGCCCTTGTTACGAAAATAACTATTTTGTTAATAAAGCTGAAGGAGTGTCCAGAATAAGTGATTCAGAAGTTGAAAGTCCCGGTTTAGAAGCAGAAAGTTCCGATTCAGAAGTAGCAGGTTCAATTGTTGGGAACCCTTTGGAAGATGGTAAGTTTAATGTTAAATTTTAATTTTTTTTCGTAAACATTTACAGGGTTGTTACAAAAATTTAATTTTTCCTGACTTTACTGAGTCACTTATCCCACTTTTCCACTCAACGTTTTTTATACCTCTTTCAGCCCCCCAGTTATTTACAAGTGTTTAAATGATAATTTTATTATTATAATAATATATTATTACAAAATATATATTTAAAAAAATGTTATTTAGTACCTTAGTAATATATAATTTAAGGAAAGGTATTTAATTTTTAGTAAATCTAGTTTTTTAGAAATATCTTTAGTGTTTTATTTTACATTTTGTTGTATAATATTTACAAAAAAATTTTACTATCTCCCCAGTAAAAAAAAACTAATTCAAATGAATTGAAACGAATTAACATTTTTGGTAGGCTCCAATTCGTATTTGTCACAAAGCGGGATTCACTCAAGCTCTTTGTATATTCAATTGAATTTAATTCAATATGTACCAATTTGTCCAAACGAATTCGCATTCGAAAGAAATGGCCAAGGAATGCATTGAATTCGTGCTAACGAATTGAAAAAAATTAAAGGCTCAAAACTTGTCCAGTGAATTGGTACGGATAGAAGGTTCGGAAGTTCAATACAGTTTCACGAATTCAGGAAAATTGCATCATGGCTCCAATTCGTATTTGTCACAAAGCGGGATTCACGAAAGCTCTTTGTGAATTCTTTTTAATTCATTTCAATTAGTTTTCGTTTACTGGGTCATTCTTTTTTTAATTTACTCTGGAGTATTTAGACAAAAGATTTAATAAAGTAGAAACGATAAAAAAATGTTTTTGCAACATTATAAAAAGAGATAAAGTTCGATTCACAAAATAGACCCGTACCTGGGACTATTTTGTGTACGACTTTTAATGGCTACAAATCAGACAAAAAATTTTTTTTCATAGCATAAATTATTAATCTTAAGAAGGATGTCGACAACACATATCAAAAATTGATTTCCTGTTTTCTTTTAATTCTAAATTAGTTTAAGTAATTAGTCAAAAAGTTATTTGGTGCACAAAATGGCCATAGTTGACAGTAAATGTTTAATTCAATAATTGAATTATTTTATAAAATTGTAAACTAAAATTCAATTATTCTGTTTTTTCTGGGTATGAAAAGATCACCTACAATATTTTCAAAATTCTCTTGTTCACAATCCAACGTTAGGAAGTTTTAATTATTCGAAATTTTTTTTAATTAAATGTGTACATTCAAAAATACTACTAATTCCAATCTAGCTATTTTGAAATTCTTACAATTTTTTCGATGATTAATAATACATTTTTCTCTTTAATTTACTTCGATTAATTAAATATGTTTTGTTAACATCATTTTGTACTTGCAGAAGGGTCATTAGAAAGACACGATACATCCGACACAGTGCTTTTGAAGACAGATGAAGGCAAGGACAGAGCGTTATGTAAAAATCCAGATAAAAGTATTAAACAACCATTGTTACAAAACATGGACAACAATAATGAGCATAGGGCCGGAACTTCTTCCAATACAACAGTTGCAGTTCCACCTGCGGCTTTAAATAATAGAAGAGTGGATGACATTCTTGTAGAAACAAACAATCCGCCTCCGAAGCTTTATACATCTCGAAATGATCAGGTAATTGTAGCTTATTGTAATTTTATAAAATAATTTTCTTTCTATTTTTTAAAATTTTTGTGTTCATTTTGAGATATATATGATAAATTGTATTATAACCTTTAAAGTGGTATGCTGGTCTGACAGACCGCTATAAAAATTTTCTTTGCTTGCAACTTTCCTTCAAAGTAAGATACGAACTTGAGCTTTTCAGTAGCTTCATATTTTATCAAAATCTGTTAAGTGACTTTTTCAAAAAATTTTTATCTTAAAATTTTGTATTGTAAAATATGTAAAAATAAACAAAATTGAATCAAAATAATGTAGAATGAATTTTTTAAGTTAAAAAGTAAAAAATATTTCCAATAATTGTCTTTAGAAAATTATAGATTACTAAAAAAAACTTAAAAAGGGAATAGCGATCTGACAGACCGGGGGTAGCACTGAGGGTGATTTTTTGGCACATAGCACTTTAAAGGTTAAATGATCTTTGGTTATCAATGTACTTTTACATTGTGTATCTTTTAAATTTTCTTATTTTTAATATTATACTGTTTTTTACTGACAGGTTTACCTTGGTGGAAATTCTTATGTTTTTGTCGATACATGGTATTTAATGCTTAGACAAAATGACTCTAAATTTGTTCGTGATGTGGCTTCTATTCTATGGGGCACAAATGTCTTAAAGAAACGTTGCCTAAAATTAACAAAAGCAATGGAAGAAAGAGACAAAGACATGAAATGTCTGACCCCGCAAAAATACAAAATTTTGAAAGGTAACATACTTAATGAGCTTTTATAGTATCTAAAAAATAAGAGCGTTTGTTCATATTTTAAACTGTAAAACAGTAACTGAGTCTACCTATTTGTTATAAAATAAAAAAGAAAAATTTGTTTATTAAATCCTAAAATTAAAAAATTATCAATGAAAGAAAATGATTGTTCAATATTTAAATTCTCTAAATTTGGTAAATAGATTTAAAAAAAATGTTTTGAAGAATAAGTTGACTTCTTTTTTAAAGATTATAAACTAGGAAAAATCTTAAGATTTTAAATTGTTACATTATTAAAGCAATTTATACTTTAAAATAATTAAATTTTTTTCGTTGTTTTCTAAGTATACAAAAATAGAGAAAGTGGGGAAAAGCCATTTTTTAAAATATCTCCCTCTTTTTTTTACTATTAAATTATGTCTTTTTCCATTTTTATAACAATTGTTGTGATTGCATTTTGAAATTTTAATAGTAAAAAAATGAAGGAGATATTAAAAAACGGTTTCGCCCCGCCCAGCGTCTTTGCCCCACTTTCCCATACTTAAAGCAATAAACTCTGATGTAAAAAATGCAATTTTTCGAATATCTAATAATATAAGAAAGATTGATATAGGAATGATTATTTATTGACCTTTCATTAAATAAAAATGAGATTTTAAAATACCTATAAAATACAATTTTTTAATATTTACAAAATATGTGATTTTGTTGCAGACTCTCTTCGGCATAAGTTAAAGGTGAAAAACGTTAGTCCCGAGAACATAGCTTTGAGGATGCAAAGAGTATGGCTTTATATGTCTCGTTTCATCTACGATTGCAAGAAAAAAAGTGAATCTTAACTTATGAGCGGTATTCAATATCAACTTATATTGAACTGATATTTTTTTATATTAATAAATTTTAAAATACTTATACTCTTCTTAAGTTCTACATTTAAAAAATGTACCTAAATGTTTTGTTCTCGAAGGTAATACTTGCCTACTTTCTGATACCACAATAAACTTATTCACCAAAAAAAGTTTTCATTATTTACATAAACAAACTCTTTTTATGAATTACTGCACTACATTTGTGTGTTTTACAATATTAGATTTTTAACCCCAGTTAAATTATTCAAATGGCAAAAAAAATTATAATTTAAATTGTTTTAACACAAATTTTTGCTAATAATATCCTAATACAATATTACGTCATTTCTGACGACGGATCTTATCTCATTTTTGTACTACATTTCCGACGTGTTTTCTGTCGTCGTTTCCTACTAGATTTCTGACGTCGGATCTGACATATTATATGACATAATATCCTAATCATTTCTGACGTCGGATCAGACGTCGGCTTTTTCAGTAGGGACGTGGCCATCTCATAACACCTCGCGACAATATGAAACAGTCTCTTTAATTTTTTGAAGGTTAGGTCTGATACTATTATAAAGGCTATTTACCCGATTGAATTCGATGAATAACTCATGTAAACAACGATAACTTTTACAATGAGAAAAAAGAAAAAAATTAATAATTACTGGCACTAATTGCTGGAGAACACAATTGTAAGTCGCACACTTAAATAACCAACTGAAAATCGACCTTCTGTTGATAACAAAAGAAAAAAATTTCTGTTGACAGATATGTCACTTATAAAACCAAAAACAGGGGGTGGCCCACTTCTGTCAATCCTAATATACTCTATCATTGGATAATATACTTCCGATTAGTGCATATGTCCGATTTTAATGAAACTTCCCAGCCCTACTGGAAGTAAAAATATAGAAAGAGATAGAATTTTGGGGATAGAAAGAGATAAAGTTTTTTCTATCCCATTGAAATAGCCACTTTGCATACCCGAAATATTATACCTTTTTATCTCCGAACGCTTCTATCTCTTTTTATACCTATTATCCCCTATCTATCTCTTTTTATACCTATGTACTTTTTAATTATCTCTTTTTATTTCTGTTTGCTGCAAATTTTTTTCCTTTTTAATATATAAAGAATTAATTAACCAATATTATTAACAATATTAAAGACTTTATGAAGTATTACAATTTCAATTGAACTTATTATTTAAAAAAAATATTTTTAGAGTTTTCGTACTTCTATTTATTACCTTTTTTTAACAAATCAAGTTATTTATTTATTTGTTATGAAATTATTATTTATTGTTTAAATCTATATTTCATTTCACATTATTAACCAACATTATACACATAACACTTAAAACCAAATTTGAAAAATCTCGCACGCAGGAGGGCTCGAACCCTGAACCTTAGGGACGCAAGTCGAATACACATGTCACTCAGCCACGCTAGCTTGGAAGATATTTTTCTTGAATTACCTTTTAAATTTTGGGACTATGTTATTGATCTTTTTTTATCTCTTACTCTATCGCTCTTTATCTCTCAGTTGATCTCCTTTTTAAAGTTCTAATTTCTCTTTATTTATCATGAAATCGTCACATTGAAAAGCGTATAAAAAGTTATCTTTGGGGATTGAAAAGGGATTTAATAGAATATAATAAAGGTTATTGAAAAAGATTAAGAAAAAAGAAAAAATCGAATTTTTTTTACTTTCATAGAAAAGAGATAGACTCTGATAGAACCGAAGGAATAAAAAGAGACAAGTATGGACTGAGATTTAAATAGGGATAGAAAGGGAAAGAAGTGAATAGTAAGAGGATAAAAGGCGATAAAGTAAGGGTTAAGGTGCCGTCCCATGTCGGCGTAAAAACGTCGAAGCGTCGGCGTTAAAGTATGAGAGTGAACGAGATAGAGATATAAAGTTGTTTCTTTCACTCTCATGCATTTACGTTTTGACGCCAACGCTTTGACGTTTTTACGCCGACATTAGACGGCACCTTTATTAAAAGAGATTGAATAAAAACCCAGTAAACAAAAACTAATTCAAACGGATTGAAATGAATTAAGATTTTGGTAGAAAGCGGGATTCATTCAAGCTCTTTGTATATTCGATTGAATTCGATTCAATTTGCCTGAAGTTGTGCAAACGAATTCGCATTCGTAAGAAATGACCAAGGCATGCATTGAATTCGTGCTGACGAATTGAAAAAATTAAAGGCCCCAAAACTTGTCCATTGAATTAGTATGAATAGAAGGTTTGGAAGTTCAATACAGTTTGACGAATTCAGGAAAATTGCAGCATTGCTCCAATTCGTATTTGTCACAAAGCGGGATTCACTGAAACTCTTTGTGAATTCTTTTTAATTTATTTCAATTAGTTTTTGTTTACTGGGAAAGGAAGATAGAAAGAGATTGAGGGGAATAAAAAAGGGTTAGCCTGGGATAGAAACAAGATTATTAAAAGAGATAAGTATATTCTTAGATGAAATTAGAGATAGAAAGAGATAGGTGTGGATATTGAAAGTATTAAAAGAGATGAAATAAAGGTTATTGAAAAAAATTTACACAGAAGGAGAGATAAAAAGTGATTGAAGTGATAAAGTGGGGATAGACTAAGATAGAGAAACTTTATCTCTTTCTATCTCAGAGATAAAAAAATATTCAAAGAGATAGGATTTCTATCTCTTTACTTCCAGCAGGGATTAATAAGGGGTGAATTAAAGTGGATTGGTACTTTTATGCCCTTAAATTCCAAACCAATTCCGTTTTTGTCCGAAATCTTAATGAATTCCTTTTCTATTGTTAAGTTGATAATTTCTATCCAATTCAATTCTCTGTAACCACGTGACCAGAATCTGAATTCACTTTAATGCCGTTTAAGGGAATCATTTTTTGTGGAGTTAATGCCTTTTAATTAATATTGAATTCTTTAAAGGGCATTAAAGGGGTTTCAAATTCTGGTCACGTAATATATTTACGTAATTTTGTGCCCTGATTACGAAAATCATAGTAAAAATTGGCGACTAGGTCATTTTCATGGTAAAAACCATAAAAAACACTATAAAATTGTGTTTTTTGCGTTTAACTCCTAGAAAATGCAAAATTCTAAAAAATGTTTCATACAAAAGATATAGATTTTACAAAAATACACATTTTTTGTTTTCATTATTTTTTTTTAAATTGTTAGTTTTCGAGAAAAATGCAAAAAACCATAAAATTCCATAAAAAGTGCTTAAAACATACTCTCACCTAAAAGGACAGCTAATTATAACAAAATACAGTTTTTTATATATTATGATGCGCTGATCACCGAAAAATGCTGAAAATGATAATGAAAATTGGCGCAAATTTGAATTTCATGGTAAAAACCATAAAAAACAATCGCTTCTGTAGTGTTCTCACCTGTGGTCCTTTAAAAAAGTCTATCTTTGGAGGTCACGTTAGAAGGGGTATTGGTTCTGGGTTGGGTACTTTCTAGTATAAACTAGAAAGTCAATTTAACTCCCTTTCTATATTAAAACGTGTAAGGAAATTAGGTGCTGCGGTCTTCGCCCGCCTCTGAGTGGTGCCTTTTCGAGACACCTAGAAAAAAGTTTTTTTTTAAAAAACGTTGGAGGGGGTATTGGTTCTGAGTTGGGTACCTTCTAGTACCCAACTAGAAACTCATTTGGACTCCCTTTCTAAATTCACAAAGCTAATTTGATTTTCGTGGTAAAAACCATAAAAACACCGTGAACTTATAGTTTTTGCGTTTGTGAATTTGGAAAGGGAGTCAAATTGACTTCCTAGTTGGTACTATGGTACCTAACTTAGAACCAATACCCCCTCCAACGTTTTAAAAAAAACCTTTTTTATAAGTGCCCCGAAAAGAAACCACTCAAAGGCGGGCGAAGCCCGCCGCACCTAATTTCCTTACACGTTTTAATATAGAAAGGGAGTCAAATTGACTTTCTAGTTTATACTAGAAAGTACCCAACCCAGAACCAATACCCCTTCTAACGTGACCTCCAAAGAAAGACTTTTTTAAAGGACCACAGGTGAGAACACTGCAGAAGGGTCATTTCGCAGGAGAGTTAAGGTTCATGTCTCAGATTTTTTTTATATTTTGCTTATTAATAGTATTTTGGGTCCTAAACAACTATACCAAATTTTAATTAAATATTTTTATTATTTTTCAAGATATTTGCATTGCAAATTTCTTGACATGTTTTTTTCATTTTATTATAACTCACTTATTTTTAAAAATTTATTAAATTTGTGAAGAACCTTTTTTACGTGAAAACCATTGAAGTTTAGTAAAAAAAATTGAAAATTAAAAAATATCAATTTTTTTAATTATTTATTTATAAAATTATATTTATTTTTAATGTTTAAGCATGAGCCCTATCAGATTTTGTTTAAAAAAAAATCTTATTTTAAAGTTTAAGATCTCATTAAAAAACCGTAAAATTTTTAGAATGGCATCTGTCTTTGTTTTTTAGTAATAAATTGTCAAAGTTTTAATTGCACTATCGCGCGCCGGCTCACAGTTGGATTTTTTTACAATTTACTGTTCAAAAATGACTACAGCCTACAATTTTTAACCGATTTGAGTGTTTTTTGTTTTAAATTTAAGGGGACATCCTGGGAGGCCGATTTTTTAAATATTAATTGTTTATAATTTTTTATTTTAAAAAAATTAATACAATTTTTTTAAAAAGGACGTTTATTTTCTTATTCCGTTACTGCACATGATTTAAATAAGTTCAAAATAATCCAATATATCCACCAGACAATTAATAAAACAAAATAATTTATTTAAATTGTTATGAACAATATTAATTAACAAATAGTTAACTTTGATTCCTCTTCAATAAAAAATGTTTTTTTTCACATTTACTTTTATATTTAGGTTCATTTAAAGAATATATGTCCTTCTCGTTCAAAACATAACTTATTTAAATTGTTATAAACAATATAATTAAACAAATAGATAACTTTGATTCCTCTTCACTAAAAAAGGTTTTTTTCCACATTTTCTTTTCGATTTAATTTTATTTCAAGAATACATGTCCTACTTGTTTAAAAAATAACTTATTTAAACAAGGAGAGGACATATATTCTTTAAATGAACCTAAATATAAAAGTAAATGTGAAAAAAAACATTTTTTATTGAAGAGGAATCAAAGTTAACTATTTGTTAATTAATATTGTTCATAACAATTTAAATAAATTATTTTGTTTTATTAATTGTCTGGTGGATATATTGGATTATTTTGAACTTATTTAAATCATGTGCAGTAACGGAATAAGAAAATAAACGTCCTTTTTAAAAAAATTGTATTAATTTTTTTAAAATAAAAAATTATAAACAATTAATATTTAAAAAATCGGCCTCCCAGGATGTCCCCTTAAATTTAAAACAAAAAACACTCAAATCGGTTAAAAATTGTAGGCTGTAGTCATTTTTGAACAGTAAATTGTAAAAAAATCCAACTGTGAGCCGGCGCGCGATAGTGCAATTAAAACTTTGACAATTTATTACTAAAAAACAAAGACAGATGCCATTCTAAAAATTTCACGGTTTTTTAATGAGATCTTAAACTTTGAAATAAGATTTTTTTTTAAACAAAATTTGATAGGGCTCATGTTTAAACATTAAAAATAAATATAATTTTATAAATAAATAATTAAAAAAATTGATATTTTTTAATTTTCAATTTTTTTTACTAAACTTCAATGGTTTTTACGTAAAAAAGGTTCTTAACAAATTTAATAAATTTTTAAAAATAAGTGAGTTATAATAAAATGAAAAAAACATGTCAAGAAATTTGCAATGCAAATATCTTGAAAAATAATAAAAATATTTAATTAAAATTTGGTATAGTTGTTTAGGACCCAAAATACTATTAATAAGCAAAATATAAAAAAAATCTGAGACATGAACCTTAACTCTTCTGCGAAATGACCCAGAAGCAGTTCTAAAAACGTTTTTGGACCGTTTTTAAAACAATGATGGTTTTTTGCCCACTGGGAGGCCCCACTTTATTGTTTTTTTCAGTCATTTTATTTAAAAGATTAAAAAAAATTTTGCACCTTTAAATTCAATATTAAAACTACAAAAAGAAAAAAATTTTTCGTTTTTTAACTTCTATTTACGATTCGTAAAGGGCGCCAAAGTATGGCGGTCTCAAATTCGTAAGAGTTTGCGGTTAGTGATGCCGCAAGACTCGAGATTTTCGAGACGAGACGAGACAATCATCGTCAAGACCAAGACCAAGATGAACTTTTTTCTCGTCTTGTCTGTTCAAGACGTGACGAGACAGTAAGTGTCAAGACCAAGACAAGATTCAAGACTCGAAAAATATCGTTAAATGCAGTGTACGTTTAGAAAAAGACGAAAAAATAGCACTTGAATAAGTTGTTATTCCATAAAATATAGTAAAATTACATGTATATTTTATGGAATTACTCTGTGAATTTTAGTTATAAAACTAAAATTGTAGTTTAATGTGAAATATAAGACCACCAAAATTTTCATAAATTTAAAATCTCTATTCATGGAAAAAATAAAATGTTTTTTAATTTTTTTCGCAATTTTTCAATCTACCATGTAAGTCTTTAATTATTTAAAGAAAGAAAAAGTTTTTAAATTGTTGATCATATAGCAAAATCTTAAGATAAAATTATGTCATCAACAACTGGTACTCCTGAAGTAACTTTTTGCGTCTTTCGAGAATATTTTCAGGGAATACAATTTAAAACCTTTTGAAATTCTATAATTTACACAAATTGCATGTAAACTCAACTATTCTAAGATCCAATTATTTTTCAATTTTTAAGTAAAATGATTCTCTGAATATTTTATAAATAACAATTTTATGAAACTTCTCCAAGATTTAAATTATTTAAAATAAAATTAATTTCAACTTCTGTAAAGATCAATTTTATTGTCAGAAATGGAAAAAATTTAAAGTTTAGCATTAATATTTGTGGTTGATTTTAAAGTTTATAAGCAGAACATGGAAAATTCAAAAAGAATTCAATGTTTTTAATATCTTCAAAGGTTGCTGGGCATCAAAAATCAGATCTTTTTTCTTCAATTCTACAAATTTAATACTTATTCCAGTATTTTTGATAATATTCTCTGATTTCCTTGAATAATTTTACAGTTATCCTAATTTATTACTAAATTTCCTGTTTTCCGGACCTGTAACAGACTTATTAATTGAAAAAATATCGAGACTTCAAGACGAGACGAGATTCTACGTCTGAAGACGAGACTTTTTCGAGACAAGACTCTTTGTTGGTCTTGACATTTCAAGACGAGACAAGATTGAAAAAATTTCGTCTTGTCTCGTCTTGCGGCAACACTATTTGCGTTGCCCCAATAGAGCCGCCCCTGACAGTCTAAAATAAAAAAAACATAATTTATTTCTTTTTGTACATTAATAGGGGAGCGTGGGGGAATTGGAGCCCCTTAAGAAAAATTATTAAAGAAACCAACTTATCTTTATAATAATACATTGTTTTCGTCATTTTCTACTCATTTCGTTATTTATCTTTAATTATGTTTAATTAGAAACTTAAAAAAAGAAAGTAAATTTAAAAAAAAATTATTTTCTGCCATCACCCAATTTGTGGGGTTTTAGGAGCTTTCACTTAAAATTTAAAAAATTTCTATTTGTTAGGAATATTTTTTGTTTTCTAATAGAAAAAAATGTTAATACTAACAATAGAGCCAAAACTTTAGACTTAGAATAAATTTTTTCCTAAATTATAATTGAATAAAAAATTTTTGAAAAAATTTAAATTTTACATTTTTTCCACCAAAAATTATTTTTTAATTAAAAGTTTTTTCATAAGGTGATATCTTTTACAATCTTCAAAGAAATAACGAAAGCCGTAACATGGTAACGAAAATCTGTCAAGAATGTGATCGTACGTTTTGGAATGATATAAAGAAAGGTTGTAGATGATTTTCTAGACATTGCAGCGAATTTTAAGGTTTCTAAGTACATGAAATTTAAAAGCTCCCATTACCCGCAGGCTCCCATTACCCCACGCTCCCCTACCTAGTGGACTAACGTGATGGAATTAAAATTTTTTCTTCTTGTAGTTTTAATAGGGTAAACGCACCAATTGTCGAGAGTGAACCTATTTCTCAAGTCAACAAATTCCGTTTTTGACTTAAACATGGAATTACAATTTAAATGCAAAACATGATTAGAATTATGCTTATTAAGTGTCATGAATGTTAAAAATAATATATTAATATTATGTCCACAAATAAATTAGACATTTTATGCAATATTTTTTGTTATTACCATGGTAACATCGACAAATTGAACCGGCTCGACAATTCGTGCGTTTACCCTATTCTATTTTAAGGTGAAAAAACAATTTTTAATCTTTTAAATAAAATGACTGTGAAAAAGAAGCAGTAAAATAGGGCATATTTTTTGCCTTCGCAAACGCAAGTACGCCTTAATTTGAATTTGTTAACAATAACTTGAGTTTAATTAATGAACAATAAATTTATTTGTATTGCAAATAATAATTAGCGAGAAATTCATTCGTATAATTAAAAAAAAAATTATTTCTTATTAATTAACAATAAATTTCTTGGTATGTAACAGAGCCACACAAAAAAAATAAAGTGTCTTGATTTGGGGTCGAGACATATGTATTCCGATGTATTTCGATGCGCTGAATCCGAATCCGCCATCAGAATTTGGCCAATGGATCCTGGTTTCGTCCTAACCTCAAAAAATACCCTAAAATCGTTAAAATGGTCACTTTTAATTTATCAAAATTGAATCTAACCGCATATTGTCAATTTTCTAAGATCCCATAATTTAAATAAACTATTCTATAAGCTTTTTAATTCAAAATTCATATAAAACATTAAATCTATCGAACCTAACCTCAAAAACACATCTAAGATTCCAAACAAACAAATTATACCATACACAGCGCAATAAAAATTATGTAAACTCATGAAAGTTACAACTTAGGTGTTTTTATGATTGCTGATTACGAATCCGGTGTTAGTTTATCAAAATTCAAAATGGCGGATCCAATATGGCGAACAATATAATTAAAATTTGTTTGGATTGGCTTGAAAATCGTTACTCGGGGGCTTTTGGGGTCGCTGATGACAAATCCCATGTCGGTTTCTAAAAATTCAAAATGGCGGATTCAATACGGCGGTCTTTATTATTTTAACGATTTTTTTAAATTTATTACTCGCGGTTTTTCGGGACCTTTGATAACGAATCGTATATCAATTTTTATAATCTTAAAGTCTTACGAATTGTTAGAAAAAATTGTTAGAAAACAATTCGTAAGACTTTAAGGTAATAAAAATTGATATAAGAATCGTTATCAAAGGTCCCAAAAATCCGCGAGTAATAAATTTTAAAAAATCGTTAAAATAATACAGACCGCCATATTGGATCCGCCATTTTGAATTTTTAGAAATCGACATGGGATTCGTCATCAGCGACCTCAAAAACCCCCGAGTAACGATTTTCAAGCCAATCCAAACAAATTTTAATTATATTGGTCGCCATATTGGATCCGCCATTTTGAATTTTGATAAAATAACACCGGCTTCGTAATCAGCAGTCATAGAAACACGTAAGTTGGAACTTTCATGAGCTTACCTATTTTTTATTGCGCTGTGTATGGTATAATTTGTTTGTTTGGAATCTTAGATGTGTTTTTGAGGTTATGTTCGATAGATTTAATGTTTTATATGAATTTTGAATTAAAAAGCTTATAGAATAGTTTATTTAAATTAAGGGATCTTAGAAAATTAACAATATGCGGTTAGATTCAATTTTGATAAATTAAAAGTGACCATTTTAACGATTTTAGGGTATTTTTTGAGGTTAGGACGAAACCAGGACCCATTGGCCAAATTCTGATGGCGGATTCGGATTCAGCGCATCGAAATACATCGGAATACATATGTCTCGACCCCAGATCAAGACACTTTATTTTTTTGTGTGGCTGTGAATTAGTAATTATTAATAACTTTATGTTCCTTAATTAATTAACTAATATTAAGTAAATATTAATGAATGTTAATTGATGTGATATAGGGATAATATTAAGTTGAGTAATAATGAATATTTGCTGATCAGGTGGAGAAACTGGGTGCTCGTTTAGAAAGAGCTTTGGCGGAGAAAGATCGTCTGGAAGCAAAATTGGAAAGTTCGCAATCTGAACTAGGAAAAAGCAAAGCCGAACTAGATAAGGCGGCATCTGAGGTTGGACGCAGTGGAGCCGATTGGGAAGCTGCCAAACAAAAACTGACGAGACTGGAGTTGGAGAATGAAAGGCTGAGGCATGACCTCGACAGGTCACAGTCTACCTTTGGTAGAAATACAATGAACTCATCACAGGAAATGGACAGAGTTCAAGAGCGAGCTGAAAAAGCATCCACTGATCTCAGAAGAGCTCAGGCCGAACTCAGAGTCACTCAGGCTGACAATGAGAGGGCCAGAGCTGAAGCTGCTGCTCTTCAAGAAAAGGTCATTTTTTCACTTCTTATTCATTTCAAAAGAAATTTTTTATTTATTTATTTTATTGTTTTTAGGTAATTTTTAACATTTACTGTTTTTACTTTAAGAAAAAAGTTTTTCGCGCACAGAAAACCTGGGTTAATTTTTGTTGCAGCTCAATATGAGCCCATGTTAATAAATAAAACGTGACGCTATCGACGATGTTCATTTTTGTTGCATTTCAAATTGAATAACGTAGGCTATTTATTTTGAACCCAGGTTTTTCCAGTGCGATTTTATCTAATTATCATTAGGTAATTATTATATGATCATGTAAAATTAAATGAAAGTATTTAATATGAAACGCAGCCCCACACAGCACATGATATTTCCTCAGTATTTCCTGAATATTTCACTGAAAGATTGAAATATTTCAGTGCAAGGTTCTTGAAATATTGCTGCAAATTGAAAATGTCTGCCTATATGAAATATTGACGCGAAAGTTTAGAAAATATTTCATTGAAATATTTTGGAAATTTTCAACTTAAATTATGCGCACTGGTCGAACTCAGTTTCTATGGCCTGTAGAGCTGCGCAGTAGTTTTTGGCTTACTATATCCTATGGGTTTTAAAATATATCAGAAAATTCCTATTGGTTTCAGGTGTTTAACAAATTTTTTAATTTTGTGAAATATATTCAAAATATTGCAGAATCGTCATGTGTAATATTGCAGGAATATTTCAATGAAATATTTTCTAAACTTTTGCATCAATATTTCACATAGGCGGACATTTTCAATTTGCAGCAATATTTCAAGAACCTTGCACTGAAATATTTCAATCTTTCAGTGAAATATTCAGGAAATATTTAGGAAATATCATGTGCTGTGTGGGGCTTCAAGTATCCTGTAAGCTTTCATCAAACTTATAGCAATCTTGTAGTGCAAGTTTCGAAAGGTTACGTAGCAAGCTTACAAAAAATAATAAAACTCTTCAAGTAACTTGCCAAAATGTTGCATAAAAAGCTTGAAGCAAGTTACATTTTTTAAAGCTACACTAAAAAAGGTTTTTTTAAAAAGTTTTAAACATGAATATGACAATTTTATTTTAGGATAACTTTCAAGTGGGAAATGAGACATAGGGTGTCTTTAAGACGTCCTTAGAACATTCTTAGGATGTCTATGTCCGTTCGAACGGACATAGAGGAGCAATTCTCGAAGTTCACGGCAGATTTATGAAAAGTTCGGGAATTTCTTTAGTACATTGCAGGAGTAGACCTCAACTTTTTCTCAAATCCACTATTCAGGTGCAATTCAAGACAAGCCTGCAAAATAATAAAAATTTCCGTTGTATGAGATCGAGAAGTCATTTCCCGCAGTATTTGGTGCGCTGAATCCGAATCTGGCAACGAAAACCTCCCATCACGTCAGGATTTTGAGAAAAGTGGGGGTAAATTCCCAAAAATCACTTTTTTAGCAGTTTTTTAAAATTTCTAACCGGTAAATCCGACGTGCTAGAGACTTGTTATATATAAGTCAAATTAAAACCTGAACTCTGTACTTTAAGAAGATAAAGCGATATTGCTAACAACAAACTAAATTAGCCATCAAAAATGATTTTTTCAACAGTTAGCAAGCATAAAAATGGACTCACACTGTCAGTAAATACAACTATTTTAAAAAATGTTTGGATTCGCTTAGAATTTTTTACTCTGGAGTTTTCGGGGTCGCTGATTACAAATATGATGTCAAAATAAAAAATCTGTGTTTAGATTCATAAGCAACGACCCCGATAACCCTCGAATAACGAGTTTCAGACAATTTGAATCGATTTTTAACAAATAGTCCAACATACTGGATCCGACATTTTGAATTTTGAAAATTTGACAATATATTCGTAATCAGCGACCCCTGAAACCCTTGAGTAACAGAATTTAAGCGAATCCAATAATTTTTCAAAATAGTTTTATTTACGTACAGAATTCAGGATTTAATTTGACTTATATAACAAGTCTCTAGCACGTCGGATTTACCGGGTAGAAATTTTAAAAAACTGCTAAAAAAGTGTTTTTTGGGAATTTACCTCCACTTCTTTCAAAATCCTGACGTGATTGAAATTTTTTATTTTTTTGCAGGCTTGTGAAATTATTCAATTAAAAATTAAATAATAAATTGTATTAGTGTTACAAATCATCAGAAAGTAAAAAAAATTCGATAATTTGCAACACATCTTCTGAACTACAGATTCTCAGCGCTTATTGAGTTCCATAATCATCTCAACACACTGTGAGGCAGAATATTAAAAAAGAATATTAAATGAAAAATATTTCATTGGAAATTATTGACATTAAAGATTTTAAAGTTTTTTTGGTTGCTAATTACGAATATGAAGTCAGTTTTTAAAAATTCAAAACGGCGGATACAATACGGCGAAAAATTTTTAAAATTTTTACAAAATCGTTTGAAACTAGATATTTGTGTGTTTTTGAGGTTGCTGATTACGAATATGAAGTCAGTTTATAAAAATTCAAAATGGCGGATCCAATATGGCGAATATTTTTTTAAAAAATCTACAAAATTGCTTGAAATCAGATTTTGAGGTAGCTCGTTACGAATGTGAAGTAAGTTTTCTAAAATACAAAATAAAAAAATTAAAAAAAACAATTTTTTTTAATTTAATATGGCGAATATTTGTTAAAAATTTTAACAAAATCATTTGGAACTTTATCTTTATTAGTTTTTTGTATACCTGATTATAAATCGTATTTTAATTTCTAAAAATTAATAATGTTGAAAATGTAAAGGCCTGTCATGAGAATTTTAAAATACTAAATTTTGAAACTTTACCTGATAAAATTTTATAAATTAAATGTGTTGGTTTAGAATGAAAATTTTAAAACTTTACGTAAATAAATAAAAATAATAACAATAATAAAATTAAACATATGTAAATTTTAATTTGATTTTATTTGATAACGTCATTTTTGAACTGTATTTTAAAATAAATTACAATTGTAAAAAAATAGAAGATGAAGAAGAAACAGAAATATAGAATAAAAATAAAAATAATATATAATCAACATTAATTGTGTAATAAGGTTTTCAATAAAATTCTTCAGTCGCTTTCGGTGTCATCAGTGTCAACTTCAAAATCACTCATTGAGTCACAACTGTCTTCATATCATTCTGGAGACTTTAAGAAATTTAAGGCTTCTTTTGGAAAATGCTGTTTCTTGTCCGGCAGTTTTCTTTTGTTGGTTATTACTGGATCAGAGCTCAATAGAAAAAAGTTAAATATATCGCCATTAGTTTTTTCTCGACTACATTTTCGCGCATTATGTTCTCGGTACCTTTTAAAATCTTTAATTCGTGCTTCTTGCGCTTCTTCTGTTAATTAACCTATTGGCAATATTAGATTGGCTATAATTTCAGGTCCATGGATGAGCAATTTATGAACTGTAGTTGGCAAATAGTACCAAGGGTACTTGTAAACAAGATATCTCGCCGTATCAATTGAAAATTTTCTGAATTTTTCTACATCAATCTCATATCCACTAGAAATTACTATCAGAATAATATGTAATTTCTTAATCAAATCCTCATCCACCTGTGTGATTTCAGAAGATACTTTTGAATGTTAAAAAAAGCGTCTTGCTGTATTCCCACAGTTGCTGTTACCAAATCCTGGCTTAGGTTTATCAATGATCAAACCACACTGTTCCTTAAATTCTCTCTGAATTCTAGCTTTATTTTCGGCAACAATTTTAATATCTTCGCCTCGAGTTTGCCACTTTTTGATCGGTTATTTATAACCCACGTGTAAAGGATATTCAAACGTACGAAGCCATGCATGTAATATGGATATACCAAATTCCAAATTCTCTGTTTTTATACTCCTAGCAAGCATTTTGTCAATATCATTAAATTCTTTTGATGTCGCGCCACAAATAAAACATTTTTGGGCTGAAGTTGTCTGGGTAACAGAATTGCACACTTTGCCGTCTACCATAGAAAAAATTAACGTGTGGTTAACACTTATTTCTCTTTCTTGACTTATCACATAAGTTGCTCTCAAATTATTAATTTGTTCGTCTATTCTTTTCTTTTCTTCAATCGATACATCAGTTGTTTCTGTCATAAATTATATTTTTAATGGTCTGCAATATCTTGTGGAAGCAGGTCGAAAGTTTTGCCATAGAATTTTTTCCCCAGAAACAAGGCGAATTGGAACTAAACATGTAAGAAAGACATTAGAATCACTATCATTCGAATCACAAAAAGCTTGTTTATATGAGCTATGACCTGAAGAACCATCGAAGCCCCGAACAATTGTGTAAGATGGAAATGTTTTTGGAGCTTTTGATCTCATAATGTTATACTGGTGACAGGATAATTTAGTGTCTATTAAAACAGCCAGAGCATCTTCACCTGATAAGCAGGGATCCGGGTCCTGTTGCTTATTGTGAGCTTCTTTATACTTTCTCGCTCGCTCTGGACTTGAGGTCGTTATTTCCCTTACAATTTGGAGGCCTGTAGATTTCCCTCTACCCTTAAAGACATTTGTGTAGCATATGATAATACAAATAGAGGAGTAGTATCTCTTAACTCTTGCGTTTTTAGTCGTTTTGTTGGTTCGGAACACAAGTAAAATGAAATCTCCGGGCGACCACGTTTTTTTCCAGTAGGTTGACTGAACCAAATTGACGAGTCTAGCCAATTTGCGTTTTTTTCCAAAAAAAGTTCTTCCTTTCGACTTGCTTTTTGCCAACGAGATTGATATTGGGATTTAAAATAAGATAAATAATGCTTTAAATTATTAATATCCTTGCCGTCACATTGTGTTCGCTTAATCATCTCTTTAGTTAAAAAAATAAATCTCTCATCGAATTTACTGCTATGTGAACTGTTAATTATTTCAACGAGTTCTTTTCTTTTAACATGAAGCGTGCTTGAAGTCGTTCCTAATATAAAAATAACAATAATTTATTTTTAATTTCTACACTAATTAGAAATATTTACTTAATTTAAAAATACTTATGCAATAAAGAAATTCGAAAATTGTAATAAGAATATTTATTTATCCCAATTTATAAATTTTAATCCTTTTTTTAAAATAAAATTAATAATATTAAACATCTTAAAATCAAAATCTTATTAATTTTAATTTTTAAAGGTTATCAAATTTTCTTAAAACAAAGTACATTCATTATTCAAAATACGTATTTCTGTATTTTGCAATGTGTCCAATAAAACCATTTTTTCTCAAAAAATCGCAAATATTCGCAAAAATTTTAAGCAGATTCTGAAACTTTGAATCAAAACATATTAAAAAATCCAAAAATTAACGCTTGGACTAGCTTGGAACAGAACTAAAATGATTAATGTGTACAGAAAATTTTTTCAATTTTTAAATTTCAGAAGCTCGTTTCTTTTAAGAATTTTAATAATTAAAATATTATAAAATACGATTTTATCTTTTCTATAATATAATTAAATACCTGAATTTGAAGATTCTATTTTAAATAATTCAAAATCTGTCACATTATACGTTTTAATCAGGTTACAAACCTTACCTTGATAAACAAACAAAAAAGCGCGAACATAACCGTTGAAAATAGGTCGACTTTAAAACATGTTTCTATGAAAATCGTCAATTAAGATGAGTTAAAAATTATATTTCATCAAATTTTGACTTAGGTATTGTTTATTGATATAATATAATTCAAATTTGAAATTGAATTTTTCATTTTTTCATTTTGTGCCAACTTGTTATGCATTCTGCCCCACTGTGCAACACTAAATTATTCTATACATTAAATGTGTAGAGTCTTGTGTTATTATTTTATCAAATTCAATAATATAGAGTCTATATGTATTCAAACAAATATATTAAACATGTTGTAAATCCAGATGTTCATTACATGAACATTTTGCTTCCTCTTTACGATCTGCAAAAAAAATTTGCTTCCTCGTGGAGGAAGCATTAACGACAAGTATATTTAATTTTTAAATCATTTTTGATACAATTTAACATTTAAAAAATAAAGTTCATTTGTCTTAATATAAGGAATAAAATTTTCTTATACTGTAATATGAATTTAAATAAACAAAAAAATTTTTAGTAAAAAAGTGAATTTTTCAACTTTAATTGTAATTAATTCTACAATTTTCAATATAATATATACTTTATATACATCAATCGATTCGTCTTAAAACAAAGAATAAGATTTTTGATTTATTTTTCATTAAATAATAACATTTTATTGTACAGCAACATGATTTTTAAGAAAAAATGAATTTTTATTAAAAATGCAAATTTTTTGTCTATAATTGGTTTTAATTCTATAAATTTAAATACAATATATACTTTATATAAACCAATCGATCCTTCTTGGTGTTCAATTGTTCAGGGTTTTATATCACATAGTCCTATATAGAAGAAAATTTGTTTAAAGAATTTTTAAAAATTTTGTAAATTAAACGACTACAAAGCTTCCTTCACGAGGAAGCAAAATAATAAAATAATATTATAAATAATTTGTGTAGAGTTGAAATACATATAATTCAATAATAAATTTTTATAAAATGTATTGGTATATGTTTCAACTGTATACAATATAAAGTATTGTACATTTCATCAATGTACAGTTCAAATGTGTAGGGTCACTACCATCTCATGCAATACCAGTATTGAAATTTAATATACAATTAATTAAAATTAATATAGAGGAGAGGCGAGTAATTCGGCGCAATCACATTTACAAAAATGGAAGGATTTTAGAAAAAAAAATATTTTTACTTTCAATATTTATGTATTCCTTGAAAGTATGTAAAAAATCTGGACCATATTCACTAATAATTAATTATTTTTTATGAAAAGTAGTTTTTCGGTGCTCTGCGTGTATTATGATGGCAGTGGAAAGCAGTCAAAAATTGCTTTTATTCTTTTAAATTGTTTTTTTTGTTGAATTTCTTACTTTGTATCAGTTGAATGGTTTACAAAAATTTACTGAGTTAATTTAAATTAACTTTTGTTTAAAACAAGTATATTTTAGTTTAATATACGTGCGGGTAAAATGGCGCACGTTAGAATACGGCTGGCGCATACTAACTTGGCGCATATTAAATATAATTTACCACATCTCTATGTATTTTGTAAAAACATTTTAATTTATATTAATCAATAAAAAAGATTATAGAAAAACTATCAGGGCCTTATTTTTTAAAAATTCAATACTTTTTAAGAGTCAGAAATAATAGTTATCGAGAATTGGTTATTATATTATATATACACGGAGAAAAATGGAAAAATGATTTATGCAGTCAGTGTAGTACTCCTTTATAGAATAATATGTGACAGGTACACACTATAGTATTAGAAGTTTGACAAGTTTCATAGCTGAACACTTTGGGACTCAACACAAGTTATGCCATTTATCAGCTTAAACAAGACTGTTTAAATAGCCTAAGAGGGAATAAGAGTATAAAAAATTGGAATGAGAAATTACTTTCTCATGTAATTGTTAAAAGAACGCGGCAGTGTTCCAAACACAAGTCAATAATAGAAGCGAATATTGAACAACTAGTACTCAGTTCAGTTCTTTCGAAAAATGAACACAGTGCACATAAAGTAGATACCTACTCGAAAACCACAAGTTATTTTCTCTCTCTCACACACTAATGGTCGTTTACTTATCTTACCGTTTCACTTACTCTTTTACTACTCTCAACTATTATGCAGTGCAGTTAAGTTAATTAAATTATTAAATATTGCTTTGAGAATAATTAATTATACATTTCATTCAAGGTCAATTAACTATTTTGTACACGAAAAAAAGAATAATCAAATTTACCATGAGGAGTGTCAAACTTGAAAAAGGTTAAGAAAAAATTAATGTTTTTTACTTATTTATTATTAAATTCTAATAACCGTATAAAATTTAAACTAGTTGACAATATTATTTATTCAATATTATGAATATTGTTGACATCCATACTTACATTAATTACAAAGTAAAACTCACGCATGATCTAATTTATTTCATTGGTAAGGGATGTTTCTTAAATAGGAAATTTCCCCCATCGATTGCGTAGCCAAGAGGCTTAATGTAAAAGTTTGCAATTTATAATTATGCGTATATTTAGTTGTATGGTTAGGTAGGTGTTCAATCCCGTATGATTGTAAGATTTTCCGATGCATTTAGTTGTTAATTGTAAGTATGAAAATGTGGGAAGAATAAAACTTGTGAAATAATGAATATGAATATATAAAGAGTGCATTTAACATATTTTTCTTTTCTTTTAATGATTGGTTATTGTTTCTTTTTATATAAAATTGACGAAGTGAATAAAAGGAAACATTCGCTTCGCGTCGCGACGGCCATTTATTTCGACAGGTTCCGCGCCTGCGTTCCTTTATTGTGAAAGTTTCGAAGTAGAGGACTGAATCCAGTTTTTCTACTATGCACACTGCAGCGCGCCTTATAATCTTCGCCTGTATTTCAATGCTGTTTACAATGACATTTGAAACTAAGGCCCTCTATACACTATACGCAATACCCTAAGATGCTTGATGGAAATGAATTAATGTACTTTTACTGGACTGAGTCCTGTTTTTTCAATATTGACTCCCAGTTTTCCAAACTCCATTTTTCTCCGTGTATAAATTATTATTATTATTATAATTCATAATTATGAATTATAATACATTTTTGCATCAAAATTAAATTTTTTTAACATTGTAATTAATTTCCCTTTCTTTTTATACTTCAGGTTCACTGTAAATAAGGTTCACTGTAAATAAAGAAACTAATTTAGTACCAATTTTGGTACTAAATCGTCATTTGGATTTATTTTAAAACCGAAAATCAGCTCTAATTTAGAACCTTTTATTTACAGTGTTTAGAGTGCGCCGTATTACCCGCTTGGGTAGGGTAACTTGGCGCAGGTGCACTTTTTATTAAAACTTATAATTTACTTTTTTATTTAATGTCAATGCGATTTTCACTGCACAATAAGTTAGTTCCAATGTTGAACTAATGATTTTTCATTACTTCGGGAATGATAACATTATTACTTTTATTTGTGTTTTGAGGTTTAGGCCAAAGAATCCAAATTTTCCATTAAAAAATTTTGAAGACAATTTTTAGTTAGTCAACATATTTATTATTAATATAATTGTCTCGACGTTTCGATGGTAGCGACCATCCTTTTCAAGAGAAAACATTCTAAAAAATTACATTTAATTACAAAAATTATAAATTACAATAATTGAAAGAAATTTTCTTTCTATAACAGAAACGTGAAAATACATACGTTGTAAAACATGTTTAATTTGTTTTAGGAGTTGAGAAACAACTCCTCACCACCACCACTACATATTTAAATAAATAAAATTAAAGTAAAAAATTATGATTAAATTCATAACCGTTTTTTTTATAAAGTCTCTCGGAGTGAAGTTAGCAGATAATTACCATAGATTATGGTTATTTAATGATTATGATTATTTAATCATAATTTATTACTTTAATTTTATTTATTTAAATATTTAAATATGTGTATTATATTAATAATAAATATGTTGACTAACTAAAAATTGTCTTCAAAATTTTTTAATGGAAAATTTGGATTCTTTGGCCTAAACCTCAAAACACAAATTATATTACGATCCAAAAACTGACTTTTAACAAATTTATTATATTTAATACAGATTTTTCTATAATATTGCATTAATAATATATTCTGTAATATTGTCTTGAGGCGGAAATTTCGATATTACTGCAATATTACAGAAGTATTACTAATATTGCATGTAACATTACAGTAATGCTACGTCATACCTGAAACTTTTCGAAACATGCAGTGCAAGATTCATCACAGTGAGATAGAATAATTTTTAAAATTATAATTATATTTAAAAACTTAGAAACCGAATAAAAATTAAAAAATGTTTTTAAATAAAAATTTATTTTAAGTTGATTGAAAAGAAAAAGGTTGAAAAAATAAAATTTTCGAATTAGGTGGAGAAGAGCCAAGGCGAAGTCTATCGACTCAAGGCAAGACTGGAGAATGCCCAGACTGAACAAGAAAGCCTTCGCGACGAGTACGACCGGGCACAGGCAACTGTAGCTCGTTTGCACTCCGAGCGTGATAAGGCAGTGGGTGAGCTTGAAAAAGCTCAGGAAGAACTTGAGCGAACTCAAGCTACCCTGGGCAAAGCTCAACTCCAGCAAGATAAGATACAGAATCTCCTTGATAAAACTCAGAGCGAGGTAGACAAACTTCAAGAGAAATGGGAAAAATCTCAAACGGAAATTCGTAGGGTAAGAATTTTCCTCTCTCTAAAAAAATTTAAAACAAAATTTTTCTTTTTAAGATGTTACATGGGTCAAAACGTCCAGACAATGTATGTTGGTTTAATTTCTTTTTCATAAAATAAATTAATTTTTTTATTTGAGCACTTTCAAATCTTAAAGTACACTATTAAATGAGTAACTTGTAAAATTTTCGTTAAAAAATATTTAAAATCAGGACCGTACCAACATGTTCTTTGAGAACGCTCCCAAAAAAGCGGTGGTCACGATATCTTCTGACCGGTTCATCGAAAATCAAAAAACCGAATACTTTCTGTTAGTGGATGAGTATAGCTCTTGATTGAACGAAGGAATATTTTTTTGTTGATTAGAACCGATTTTACATGGTCTTAATGGTTCTAAAAATTGTAACTTTTGACAAAAGACACTGTCAAATATCCAAATTTCAATTTTTTTAAAAACCCTTCGTTCAATCACGAGATATATTTTTGGAAAAGGGCCCAAAGAACTGTTGATACGAGCCTGATTTTTAATATTTTTTATCAAAAATTTTGTATCTTATTTATTTAATAGTGTACTTTCAGATACCAAAGTGTTCAAATAAAAAAATTTATTTATTTAATGAAAAAAAAATTATTAAAAAACATATGTTTCCAGGTCGTTTTGACCCATGTAACCCCTTAAAGAAATAGTTCAAATTATTATAGTTTAAAAAATTTGGTAAAAATAAATATACAATTGAAACAACAAACTTTAAAAATTAATCATTTTTATTTCTTAACTTTTTTAAAAATTTGTGTTCTCAGATGCAAATGGAGAGAGAAAAACAAAACTATGACTTTGAAAATGTTCAAAGTCAATTGGATAAGTCTCTCGGTCAGTCAACGAGAATGCAAAAGGAACGAGAAACAATTCAATTGGAAGTTGATCGTCTCCAGGATAAATACGAAAAAGCTCAGGTACTTTTGACAATTTTTTTACAAAATTAAAATTTGTATCTAACAATATTTATTACATTAATATAAATAAAGTTGTATTTATTAATTTATTTTATTTAATTTTTTAATTTAAATAAATAAATATAATAAATGAGTCATTTCATTATATTTCGACTAAAGTCGTTGCTGACTAATTTTAAAAAATTATAATATTTTGCACGAATGATGTTAAAGATATTAGGATCACCGAACAAAAAGAATTTTTTAAATGTTTTTTATATTTATTGTAAAATAAACATCTAAAGTATATGAAGTCGTAAAAACTGTCACATTTTCATCTATTAGAAAATATAAAAGAAAACACATAATTTACTATAAAAACGTAAAAAAAATTATAAGAATTTATTAAGAATGAATTGTTTTATTATTGTAAATTGATAGAAACAATTATTAATAAGAAATATTAAATAAAAAATGATTTTAAAGTTCACCTGCCAAATAACCTAATTTTGTAAATTTCATTCACTAAATGTGAGAAAGAGAAATCATTACACTGAGAGAAATGGATAGTCAGATTTTGATGTTAAAAAGATGATGTTACACGATACTATCATTATGCTACTGCCAACCATCACAGATGCTAAAAAAATATAGTTATGCTACCCCTTACTACCAAGATGTTACTCCTGATGATATTGATGGTAACGGTGTCTATCTAGATAGCAGTCTGTATACGTAGCATTAAAGATGGTCACCCTAACCACAATTATGTTACCCACTACTATAAATTTCTCTCCGTGTAAATTGAATAAAACCTTATGAAATATAAAGTACCTGTGATTAACTTTTAGTTTTTCTTATCATTTCCTTCCTTTTTTCTTCATAAATGTTAAAAAATAAGCAATTAAAACTGGCACTTTGCTTATTTTCACGATTTTAAAATGTAAATAACTTCTTCCCAGAAAAATGAAAAATTACGAAAATTGGGCAATAATTATTTGATCACTAGATACACTCACTGGAAAAAGATTTTCTTTGGTCCCGAAGCTATTTTTCGAAATAATTAATTTTAAACTTTTCACTATTTCTATCAGGTTAATACATGTGATTTTTTTAAAACTGAAGTTGGTTCAAAACGATTAAACAAGAAGAGCTAACTTCGTCCTTTAAAAAACACATGTATTAACCTGATAAAAATAGTAAAAAGTTAAAGGTTAATTAATTCGGAAAATAGCTTCGGGACCAAAGAAAATCTTTTTCCAGTGAGTGCATCTAGTGATCAAATAATTATTGCCCAATTTTCGTAATTTTTCATTTTTCTGGGCAGAAGTTATTTACATTTTAAAATCGTGAAAATAAGCAAAGTGCCAGTTTTAATTGCTTATTTTTTAACATTTATGATGAAAAAAGGAAGAAAATGATAAGAAAAACTAAAAGTTAATGACCGGTACTTTATATTTCATAAGGTTTTATTCAATTTAATGATTTCTCTTTCTCACATTTAGTGAATGAAATTTGCAAAATTAGGTTATTTGGCAGGTAAACTTTAAAATCAGTTTTTATTTAATATTTCTTATTAATAATTGTTTCTATCAATTTATAATAATAAAACAATTCATTCTTAAAAAATTCTTATAATTTTCTTTACGTTTTTATAGTAAATTATGTGTTTTCTTTTATATTTTCTAATAGATGAAAATGTGACAGTTTTTACGACTTCATATACTTTAGATGCTTATTTTAAAAACCTTTCAAAAAAAGACATAGGATAAAAGAATCGAATGCACTCAGAAGTGTAACTCGAAAAGTATCGAAAAGATTAAGCATCGGTAATATGAATAGAAGGGCGAACTCATGTTTCCAAATGAAATTGTAGTACATTAAAAATTCACATATACTTAAGAGATGGAGCTGCTGTCTGAAATTATTCTTTTACTACTAAATAAATAATAATATAAATAATAAATAACATATAATTTGTAATTAAAAATATAATTAAATTAATAGAAAATTTTACACTTAAGCAAAAAAATATTTTAAGTAAAATAGAATTTTATTTAAGAAATTATTAAATTGAAAAAATTAACATTAAAACTTTTAAAAATTGAACAAAAATGAACATGGAATAGAAGCTACGAAGACGGCCGAAGGCCGTCTGAGGCGCTAGTAAATATAAAAAACATTCAAAAAATTATTTTTGTTCGGTAATCCTAATATCTTTAACATCATTCCTGCAAAATATTATAATTTTTTAAAATTAGTCAGCAACGACTTTAGTCGAAATATAATGGAATGACTCAAATACCTAATAAAATAACAACCAAAATAAATCAAATTTAATTGTGAAAATTGAAAAAGAAAATTCGAAAAATTATCAATATTATTAAGATTGTTACCGGTCACCGTGTGAAGATATGGGACCGGGCAAAGAAATTACCCTTAATTTTTAAGAGTAAAAATAGTTGGAAAATTTAAAAAGAGAGTCAACAATATATTACTCTCTCTTACTATAATGTAAGATAAACGTACCGGATAATGGTAAATCGTCCTACGAAGGGACTGTTGTGAAGATAAGCGAGAGAGAGAAGCGACTATGTATCGTTCTCTCTCACTCTCATTGAATCAAGAGTCACAGGGCGAGAAAGGGCCTTCCTGTAGAGAGACCGTTATACAGGCGGTAGATACGTAGGTGCGAGAGAGAAAGTATCATCTCACTCTCATTAGGTCGAGAGAGTTTGGTAGGGGGAGCGTGTAGGCTGGCAGTGATCGGGCCTTAAGGCGGCAAGTCAAGGTGTGGATAGACCTTTACTGAAAGTGAGGTTAGTTCCACCAGGCGTCAAGTTGAGATAGAATGTAAACACACGAATGTAAACAAACTTGAAGGTTAGGATGATTTGTTTACATTTTTGTGTTTGGATTTTTTTTAATGCGAATAATTAATTTATAAGTCTGAAAATGGATGCTGGTTTTAAAGTGATTGATGTATTCTTAGTTTAAATTATGGCAAGTGGTTAAAAAAGCTTGTAAATAAAATTCGTACTGTAGTGGGAAGGGAAAGAATTTACACAATGATCATACTGCTGTCGTCTCGAGAATTTGCCTCCCGCACAAAGCTAAGAATAGGATAAAATCCCGCAAATCTCTGTCAATGGTGGTAATTTTTTTCGGTGACGTCAGACCCATTAACCCCAAAAGTCGTTGTCCCGTTCGACCACCTCACGCATCGAGTCAGAACAGGAAATAATTCCCGCAGCACTACGATCTAGAGTGGTTGTAAATTGGGGTTAAACAGCTTGTGGGTGTAAGGGTTTCGTCGAGAGTTGGCCTCCTGCACAGAGCTAAGAAAAGGAAAAATCCCGCAAAGTTCTGTCAAAGGTAACAATTCTCTCTGTGACGTATAATTGTGTGTAAATTTCATATGGGGTGGAGTGAGTATTAGACTACCGACTCACGCTCAAGGTAAAATCAGGAAATAAATCCCGTATTACCAATGTGTACGGTAATAGTGCAAGAGCTGGTGTGGATGAAATGAAAGAGGCAACAGTTACGTTGGTGAAATTTTATGTTAAGAAGACTACGGAAGTAGTTCCGTTACAAGGGTTGGCGGTGAAGTGACTCCCTGACTGGGTATTTTCGTTTCCTTTTATACCCAATAACTCTCCCAGTAAACGAAAACTAATTGAAATTACTTAAAAAGAATTCACAAAGAGCTTTCGTGAATCCCGCTTTGTGACAAATACGAATTGGAGCCATGATGCAATTTTCCTGAATTCGTGAAACTGTATTGAACTTCCGAACCTTCTATCCGTACCAATTCACTGGACAAGTTTTGAGCCTTTAATTTTTTTCAATTCGTTAGCACGAATTCAATGCATTCCTTGGCCATTTCTTTCGAATGCGAATTCGTTTGGACAAATTGGTACATATTGAATTAAATTCAATTGAATATACAAAGAGCTTGAGTGAATCCCGCTTTGTGACAAATACGAATTGGAGCCTACCAAAAATGTTAATTCGTTTCAATTCATTTGAATTAGTTTTTTTTTTACTGGGCTATGCATAAAAAATCTGCCTCTCGGAAGGGGAAGATTTTTTATACATGTAAGAGGGATAACAAGAGACAATCTTGCTAGTCAGCTTAAAAACAACTAAAACTTAATATTAAAATATAAAATAAACTAAATTAAACATAAAAATCATAATTTTACATAATATGCATATTATTTTCATAACGCTGTATGATTATATTAAAAATACAAGAATATATTTATCTTTTTATTTAATTTAATATTGATTTATTAATTATTTAATTAGTACTAATTTATTTATTAATTAAACAATAATCAAAATTAAAACTCAAGATAATATGAATGTATTTTAATAATAAATTTATTTTTAAACATTAAAAGAATTATTTCTCAAAGGAAAAATAATTAACATTAAATTGATAATAAAATGAACAGCAATTCAATAAAACATAATAGTGTTGATAATATTAACAGTATTAATAATAGCAACACTAATACAATAATAATAATATTAATAGGGGAGAGTCTCCAGTTGTGAGACGGGTTTTATTTTTGACCCGTAAATTGTAAACGTGTAAACGAAATTGTAAATAAAATACATCGTTCGAAAGGTAACAGAAATACGCAACTTTTATTAAAAGAAAGTATAGTGTTTCGATGAACTGAAAAAATTTTACGATTCATTTTCCGAGCACATCGCTTTTTTTAAAAAAAAATGTCTCCAGTTGTGAGACACTCATTAAAAATTGCTAAAATTTAATAAGTTTGACATAAAACGTTAAGTTTAGTAGAAATAATTAAATATATTAATAATATATATTATTATATACTAAATAATAATATTTATTCGCCAAAATATGACTATAAAATAATCACAATTAAATAGCTTCAACAAGAGCATTAAAATTGATTTCTTCTGAATCAATTGACTTTTTTCCACTTGACATGCCCAAAAATACTAGAAAAAATTCAAAACAACATTTAAATAGTCGTATTTTTTATGCTGCCCAGATGGGTGTTGACACCGTCTCACAACTGGTGATATGCTGTGTCTCACACCCAGAAATTGGCGCTATTTTGAAAAAGGAAAATTAAATTATTTTCAAGCGTAGATTGGAACAATGCAATATTGCATCACAAAATATAAAATAAAATAAAAAATATAAAATAAAAATAATTAATTATAATAAATAAAAATAATAATTAATAATTAATTATATAAAATTATATAAAATATAAGGAAAACACTAAAAGAAAATGCATTACATTTACCTTTTCCAATTAATTAACTTGGAAAAAAAGTACTTTGCATTTATTGAAAAAACGCTTTTTAGTTGATTATCACACACAGTGTTGGTATTTAACAAAAACAGTTTATATATCCACTTCGGCGTACACGAAAAAGTTAGCTCATATAAAAAGAAATGTTTTTATATAAACCAATCGGCTTTTTAATATTGCATGTTAAAAAAAATTGACTGTCTCACAACTGGAGGTGTCTTACAACTGGAGACTCTCCCCTAATATTTATACTTAATCGGTCAAATATTGTTAAACTAATTTTTAGTAAAACAATATAAGTATAAGTATCAATGATTATTAACTCGTTATTAAAATATACACAGTTAATTTTAAAATTTTAAAACGAATTGAAACTCGAAGTATATATATAGATATATAGTGGTTGCTGGCCCCTTTGAATATTTGCTGGGGAGGAAGGAGAAAGAGGAAAAGCGGAAACGTAGAGTAGAGAGAGACAGAGATAGAAAAGACAGAGAAAGGCGCGCGGTCAGGGAAATCGACGAGTAAGGCCCACTAGACTAATTTTTTTACATGTCGATGTCGAAAAAGTCAACCTAAGGGAAGATACCACATTTTCACGAAGTTGAGACCTTCAAAAAGAAGGGTTATCAACTTGTGCAGTGGTGTTTTCTTTCGCGGAATTTTCACATACATGTGACCGGTATCAAGATGAAGTAAAAGAAAAAGCATCTATTTTATAAATCTTACTCTCAGAATTCAAAGTTATTTTTCTTACACAAAAATGAAAAAATGGTTTGAAAATTTCCAATATTATATGTATGGAAAAATAAATTGAACGCTCAACGGAAATCTGTATAATGAGATAGAAAGATTTTATGTTTGCTAAACGAGTTTATATAGAGCCATTTGCGCGCATTTTCATAAAATATTTTTCCTTGCAGATTATAATGCAACGACTACAAAAGGAGCGAGATAACTTCCAAGAGGAAATGGAAAAACTGCATGAGCGACTGGAATTCCAACAAAGTCAGACTGTAAAATTGCAGCGTGATAAGGAAAATGCTTTGTCGGAACTCGAGTTAGTGAAAGACAGATGGGAAAAGACTCATACATCTCATCAAAAAATATGCGTATGTAATGAAGCATCAAATGACACACAAACACAACATATAAAATGGAAATTGTTTTTATGACTATAATTTCTTTTAATACTCAACATTTTTCCCTTCAGTTTTAGCTTTTTAAATAAATTAATCAAGTTTCATTTAAATAATTTGTAATCTTAATTTTAATTAAAAATTTTTAAATTCAATGTCATCTAAATTAAATATTAAATTCAATTTTTTTAATTACACTAAAGTATTTAAGTTTTACTATTTATTATAAATTGCTTTTAGTTTATTTAAAAAGCTGTTTTTACACAACAAATACAATTCTTTCTTAGACTTACTTGAATGTACTAACGATGTTTGAAAATAACAAACATTTTCAAATAACATATGACCATAATATTCTGAAGTAGCACGTGTGGTAACATCGCATGGAAATATTGAGAGAATATTGCGTAGTGATACATAGTATGACATGATTGCTCGAAAATCTGATACAAGTCAGGGATTTTCGACTGACTTCCCAAATTTCAGATAGAATTTTGATTTTTTCCTGATCTCTTAAAAAAATTTAAGGGTAATCTAATCTAATAACCGAGATCGAGCTGGATTTTTCTCAAGAGGGGAAAGTAAGCGCCTAGGTTATAAAACCCATTGTACCACTCTGGCGATTTTGTTGAACGCTAGTGGTACGTTATAACGTACTATGGAGTCTTTGGACCTCGTGGTGAGATTGAGGTTATGTTAATTGGTGTAGAAATATTCAGACAATTAACTAAAAGGGATCTCCACAGTTCCCTGAGCGTGTTCTTTATAAATCAAGAAATAAACACTACTTAAATTAACTCGAATAAAGATTTTATTACTTTAAGAAATAATCAGTCTCAATAATTACAATTCCATTCACAGACGTCCGTCCACTACCGAGTCACGAGTCTAGTTTACAATTACATTCTCTCGCGCTTCTCTCTCTATAGTCATGGATTAAGTTTATAGAGGGTAAACTTACAGTGTTGTGTGAGTGAGGGTACGAGCACCCCAACACACTTCCCCCCAAGTGTAAATGATATTTGATTCTCTAGAATGAGAGAGAAAGCGTGTAGTTTGTTAGCAAAAAAATTTTTTTTTACATATATGCTTAAAATGATTTACTTTGTCGAAGTACATTTGTTTCGTTGTAAACAATTTTTTTTATTTTCCTTTTTAGCGGTTTACGTTATTGCTGATGTCGAAGTTTGAATTAACAATACTTCGTAGATAAAAAAAAATTATGTGTTTATTTCTAAGTCCGAAACACAAATGAAAAATTTTCTTGTTTATTTTAAATTTAATTATTCAATTTTCGCGCCCCTCTTCGTAGTATCGCGGGTTGGTATCTTACTCGTTTTTCGCATTGTTTGCTCTCCGATTTCGACGAGCAGAAAGCATCGTTTTTCGCGAGTTCGTTAACGTTAAGAGGCTTTTCTTTTTTCTACGTCTGTTTTAATCGTGGGTATACTTTGTCTTTTACATTTTTCGTTATATAATTTTCCGAACCCGGGTTGCGAACTGATCTCGTTTGAACGTTTACATCATTCGTTGGTGGTACTGATATTTTTACATTGCTTTCTAAAATTGGTTCCTGGGATCGATTCGGAAGTCTGGCTAGGAAACTCGGCGCGTAATTTACTTTTTTCGATGCTTGTTTGCTCGTGTCATCGGGAGTATATATTGCCGGTTTCACATTTTCTAACGAAACTGTTTTCTGTTTACCGTTAACTTCGATTTTCATTGTTCGATCCGAAACTCTTTCGACTATTTTATGGGGCCCAGTGTACGGGCACTGCAATGAACGTCGCGATGCACCTACGCGTATGAATACGTGTGTGCAATCTTTAAGATCTTTGCTTATAAATGTTTTCCGACGATCGTGATACTCGACGGAAACGGGCTTGATTTTTCTCATCTGTTGTCGAAATTCTGATATAAATTTTTCGCGGTTGGTCTGATCCTCCTCCGTCAGCACCAGCTCGCCAGGCACCCGGAGTGTGGTTCCGTACATGTATTCTGCTGGGGAAGACCCGCACTCCATAACATTTACACGTAAACCGAATAATACTGTAGATAATACGCGAGTCCAGTCATTGTCTATATGGCACATTATTGCACCTTTTAAAGTTCTGTGCCACCGTTCAATAAAGCCATTCGCCGCGGGATGATACGGGGTTGTGCGGATCCGGCTGCACCCGGATACGTTCAATAATTATTTAAACAAACGGGATTTGAATTGGGTCCCTTAGTCCGTCGTGATTGTTTCGGGGGTTCCGAATCTTGAGATCCAGTGATCTACTACTGCTCGACAAACTGTTTGTGCAGTGATATCTGATATCGGAATGGCTTCCGGCCAACGGGTGAATCTGTCCATCATGGTAAGACAGTATTGAAATCCGTCGATTCGCGGCAAATGACCTACTAAATCCATGTGGACATGTTTAAATCTCGCGTCAGGGGGAACGAAACTTGCTGGTTTTAGTCGTATATGCCTTGCTACTTTCGCGCGTTGACAATCCAGGCATGATTTCGCCCACTGGGTTATGTCTTTGTCGATTGAGGACCACACGTATCTTTGTCGAATGATTTTACTTGTTATTTTAGCGCTCGGGTGTGCCGGTGAGTGAAAAATGTCGAATATTTTTTTTCTCAATGCGGTTGTAACCGCATTGACGTACGTTATCGCCCGAAATATCGCACTGAATGTTAAGATGGTCCGGACCGAATTTTAGTTTTTTTATTTTCAACGATGTGCTTTTTAATTCCAGAATATTTTTTAATTCCGAATCGGTTTCTTGGGCGATTGCTAATTCGTTTAACGATATTTCCGGAGTTACTGCTATTGCTTCCACTCTCGAAAGTGCGTCTGCTACTACGTTCTCTTCTCCTGCGATATGCTCGATTTTTTTTATATACTGTGAAATAAAGGAGATTTGTCGCCGTTGATGGTCGGACGCTTTATCGGAGTTTTGAGATAGTGAATAAATGAGGGGTTTGTGGTCAATGAGGACTGTCGTTCCTCCTCTTTCAAGGTAATGTTTGAAATATTTGACTGCCTCGTGTATTGCAGTAAGCTCGCGGTCGTATGTGCTATATCTTTTTTGAGCGGGGCTCAGTTTGCGCGAAAAGAAACCTAAGGGGTCACATTGTTCGTCGATTTTCTGTTCTAGGACTGCTCCGATACCGAAGTCGGATGCGTCCGTGATTAATCGCATCGGTGCAGTTTCCGAAGGGTGGGCGAGCAATGTTTGTTTGGCGAGTTCGTTTGTTCAATGAAAGCTTTTTCAGCTTCATGGTTTCATTTTATAACCCTTTTATCGTTTTTACGCGAGTCTTTAAGAAATGCATTCAGAGAAGCTTGGATCTGGGCTGCATTTTTTATTACCCGGCGATAGAAATTTGTCATACCTAGGAATTTACGCATTGCTAATATTGTTTTCGGTTTGGGAAATTCCGTTATGGCTCTAACTTTCTCAGGTGTTGGTTTCGAACCTTTCGCGTTAATTATGTGAGCGAGGAATTCGATTTCCTCGACGCCCAATAGACAGTTATCGGCATTTATACGTAGACCGTGTTGTCTCAAACGATTAAAAACTTTTTCCAAATGTTTCTCGTGTTCCTGAGAGGTTTCTGAAGCGATGAGTATGTCGTCTATGTATGCGAATACGTACTCGAGGTCTCCGAGGGCCTTATGGATATAGCGTTGGAACGTTGCTCCGGCGTTTCGTAAGCCATAAGTCATGACCGTGTATTCGAACAGGCCGAAGGGGGTTATAACTGCGGTTTTTGGTATGTCGTCTTCGAACATCGAAATTTGATTATACGCTGAAAACAAGTCTAACTTTGAAAATATTTTTGCACCGTGCAGATTCGCTGCAAAGTCGTGTAAGTATGGCATAGGGAAGCGATCTAGCTCTGTGACCGAGTTTACTCGGCGGTAGTCGCCGCACACTCGCCATGTGTCATCTTTTTTACTTTGCATGTGTATTAGGGATGCCCAAGACGCGCTGGACGGTCGGCAGCGGCCCGATTTGCACATGAGTTGAAAGTAGTCCTTGGCTACTTTGCTCTTTTCAGGACATAATCTACGGGCACATTGGGCTATGGGTTGCCCGGTTGTGATTATTCGGTGTGAAACTTGGCTGTTTTTGAAAAACGAAAGTGCTGTAGGATTTGTAATTTCCGGAAATGCGAATAAATGTGCAAATGGGGACGTTTGGTTCACGGTGTTGATACTCGCTAATGAAACTGATTTTACTATTCCTTTGGAATTTATACCGGTAATTGAGTCGATCAACTTTTGTGTTTTTAAATCTACCGCTATGCCGTAATGTGACAAAAAATCTGCCCCTAGAATCGGATATGAAACTGTTGCGATGTGAAAGTCCCACGGAAGTTCGCGACGCAATCCTAAGTTAAGTTGGAGGTTTTTTGTGCCGAAAGTATTAATTCGCGAATTATTTGCCGCGTACAGAACAAATTCGGATGGTTCACCTCGTTCGTTATTTCTTTGGGGTAAAATTGAAATGTCCGACCCGGTGTCGACAAGGAAAATTAGACCGGTTCTAGAATCGCGTATATGGAGGCGCTTTGATTTGTTTTCCGTGCCAATGGCCTCTAAATGGTATAGTGTTTCTAGTTTCCCAAGGGTGCAGTTATTTTCATTGTGCATCCGTTTTAGCCGCATTTGCGGGCATCTTTCCAGTATTTTCTATGATACCAACATTTATCGCTTTCTTTTTCCCGAGAATTGCTGCGGGATCGACGATTTCGCGACTGTGACCTGAACCGACTCCTACTTTCTTTGTACGGTCGCCCGAATTTTTGTTTTATTTCCGCAATCTCGGCTACAATCGCGTCCAATCTCGCTTCTGTGTTTGACGTTACTGCGATGGCTGCTACGTTTGTGTTATTTTGTGTTATTCGAGGTTGGACTGATTTGACTTGTTCTGAAATTTTGTCTGCCATTGTCGCGAGTTCGGTTAAATTTT